CACTCCTCCCTCCAGCTCATCCCTGCCAGCCAGCTGCATCTATTTCAGCTTTCCAACCTGCCTTGGCGTCTGCCTCGGCCCCGCCGCAATTAAAACTGGACCAGCAGCCTCTTACCTGCCTTCCCTGCGCCCAGGGGTCAGCCTGGCTGCTGCAGCCTCTCGGAAGCAGCCGAGGAGCTGCCGGGCTCTGCCGCAGCGGGGCCCGCTCTGCCTGCGCTCGGCTGCGGGCAAGCCTGGGCAGCTACTCAATTTCTCACCCCCCTCACCTTCCCCCGCCTCGAGTAGCCCATTTTTGCTGATCATCTGCGGTGTTGTGCCAACAGTGTCTTAAATCCCATCAGTTTTTTTCCCTTCCCTCCTCCCCTCGCAGCCTTGCGTAACGAGGCCAGAGCACAGCCTCTTCCTTACCCCCGGGGTCCAGTTTTATAACCATCACCTTTTTTTTTTTTTTTTTTTTTTTTTTTTTTTTTCCCCCCTCTCCCTTTCCCTCCACTCTGACCTTGACAGGGTGTGAAAATGCTTCTGGTTTGGTTTATTACACTTCTTTTTTTTTTTTTTTTTTTTTTGTAAGTTCGGATTAATAAATAATAAAACCCCAGCCAGCACAGATTGCTCCCGGTCTGGTCTCTTGGGGAAGGGCAAGCAGTGGTGGAGGGGAGGAGGAGGAGGAGGGGGGATTTATTGCAGGTGGGAGGAAGAAGGGAGGCTGTGCCAGCTTGGGGATGTGAGCTGGGGGCAACGCTTGGCCTGTTTTCTCCCAGTGGGAGCTGGCTGCATCCCTCCACCACCTCATCCCTCCTGGAGCAGGTAAGGGGGGGTTTTTTGGGATGGAGGTGCTCCTCCCTCTTGCTTTGCAGGAAGGCAGTCAGCGATCTTCCCCGGCGGGCTCCGGCCGGAGCCCGCCAGGGAAGATCGCTGGCTGCCTTCCTGCAGGATCTTCATAAAGTGGTGCCACCCTTGCCCAGGTCTGTTAGAACATCATTAGATGTTGGCACATGTCTGTTGGAACACTAGTTTGGTCCCTGCCCTGCAGTCCTTGTACCCCAGGTGTGGTGTATTATCCCTGTGGTGTATTTCCCCCCCCACCACCACCCCAGGATGCTCAAGCCCTGCCCTGCTCTTGGGGTCCTGCGTCCCTCCCCACCCCGGGAAGTCCCCTGCGGGCTGGGGGAAGGGGACAGGGACACACCGGGGGACGCTCCGATGGGTGCGGGGAGGGACACGTTATGCCAGGGGGTGGAAATGGGGGCTCAGCACCAAGCCGGGGGGGTCGCTCCAGGGTCCTCCCACCCCTGTCAGCCCCGCCACCGCCTTCCCCCCCACCCCCCTCCTCCTCCTCCTTTCCTCCCCGTCTCTCGGGAGCGGCGTGACCTTAATCCGAGGCGACCTTGAGAGGAGGCGGCTGCGGGCAGTGCCGGGGCCGGGGGCGTCCCGCTGGGCCGGGGGACCGGGGTGGGGGGGGGCGGGCTCGCCTCCCTGCCGCTGCCGAGGGGCGGGCAGCCCCGGGGAGCCCCGGCCCCGTGCGGCCGCAAGGCGGTGGAGCACCGGCGGAGCGGAACGCGGCGGCACCGGAGAGCGGGTACGGGGCCGGGCGCCGGGTCCTTCGCGGGGAAACCGGGTGTCCTGGGACCCCCGGACCGTCCCAGGGGCGGCTGCACGGGTGGCGTGGCGTAGGGTGCGGGGAGAGGTGCCGGCGGGTTGGTTTCCTCTGCTTTAAGGTGCTCCTTGCTTCCCCCCCACAACCCCGAACCACGCACCCCCCCTCACTCCCCGGGTTGTGCTGCTCCATCCCGGACCCCCTCCCCGACCCTTCCGACCCCACCAGCTGCCCGCTGGTCACCCTGCGTGGGTCAGGCTCCGTCCCCGGGCACCGCAGCGTGTCGTGGGGCAGGTGGGAGGGCTGCGTGGGGCAGTGGGGCTGAGCAGAGCCCGGGGAACACGGGCGGTGTGTGGGGGCACCGGGACAGCAGGAGGGTCGGGGGAGGATGTTCGGGGAGGGGGACACACACACACACACACATTCCTCCCTGCTTTGGCACGGCCAACCCCACGGTGGCATTTAATTCTGCTGGGGGACACTCTGCGCTGGGGAGCACTCCCACCCGCTGGCCCCCCGGCTCCGCGTGGGGACTGTCACCTCCAGGAGAGACGCTGGGGAGCTGGGGCTGTCCCCCGGCAGGAGGCGGCTGCCGTGCGGGAAGAACCTCGGGTTGGGTTTCTCCAGCCCCTGGCTCCCGTCCCGCTCTCCTCGACAGTGTAACTCAGCCGGGGACGAGGGGGGCTGCGTGGGCATCACCGGGGGTGATTGGGGCATTGCCTGGGTGAGTGGAACAGCCATGTCCTTGCATCCCTTGCTCCCGGGGTCTTCCCGGGATGGTCTCTGCTTCACTGCTCGCGCGGGGAAGGCACAGCTCCTGCGGCTGGGGCAAGGCTGGGCGTGCTTGGGCCGTGCTGGGAGCCTGGAAGGGCTGGCACTGGGGGAAGATTCAGTTTAGCTCCAAAATCTCAGCGAGGTTACGGGCCTGGGGGCTGCAAGCAGCTCCCTTGCACGCTGCCCCCTTGCACACACATGCCAGGACCCAGCGGTGGCACCGAACCACCATCTCTGTCCTAGGCCAGCATCTCTTGGCCTTACTCCAGCCTCACTGCCTTTCCCTCCGCCCCGGCTTCCCAAAACCATCCCCATCTCCATCCCCTCACCTGCTGCAGCACAGATGCCACCGGGTGGGCGAGCACCTGGAGCTGTGACTGCAAAGCAGCCGTGCCAGGCTGGGTGCTGCCAGCAGGCAGGACGGTGCAGGCAGAGGGGTGACTGGGGTTGTCCCCCAGGCTGGTTCCCTGCAGGCTGCGGGGTGCTGAGGGGCTGTGGGGGGATGCAGGGCACTCTGGGGGCTGTGCAAGCCAGCAGGCATCAGGGCACCCACTCTGCAGGGCCCAAGAGGAGCATGGTGCCACCTCCCCATTTGTGAGTGCGGGGCGCCCTGAGGTCTGGGCTGGTGGGTTGGTGCACCCCTGGCACATTGGATGCGGGAGGGTGTCGCCAGTCCTTGTGGTCTGAGCCCTGCAAGAAGGGCCGGTGCTGGGAACGTGCAGCCTTGGCACTGGGCGCTGCTGGGAAGCATCTGGGACAGTCCCCCAGCCATGCTGCGTTCTCCAGCAACATGTGAGGTCCCCAAGAGCGTGGACAGAGCTCCCTGCCACCCCAGCTGGTGCTGTGCTGGGGATCTCCCTGCCTGTCCCTCCACTGAGCAAGGGACGGCCACCCTCTGGCCCCTGAGCCCGCGAGGGTCTGGCAGCCGGGCTTGGCAGCTGCCTGCACGCTGACGGCACCGGCTATTCCCAGCCCCGCGCCGCCGGTGCCTGTGCTGAGTCAGGGGCCTGGGGCACAGCTGCCACCCCTGCACCCCGGCATGGAGCCCTTCGCCCCCAGGAACCCCCTGGGGTCCCCTCCTGCACCCAAATCCCAGCTCGCTGCCTGCGGCGGCATCTGCTCCTCGAGGGCTCAGCTCCAACAGCCGGGTGACAGGCACATCCAGCAATTTGTCAGTCTAATTAAAGCCTTAACAGCCTAATCAAAGCCTTATTGTCAGTCCGGTTGTATTTATAGTCCCACTCGTGGCAGAGAGCTCCCAAAACGGCTCCCAGTGTGGTCGCGGCCCCAGGGTGCTGCTGAAGTTTCCCAGGCAGAAGGGGCTGGGGGAGCTGAGGCTCCTGCTCCACACCCCCTTCTCTGATCTCACAGCAAGTGAGGTTCTCCCTTATTTCCAAATTTTCTAGTTGTGGGCTATTTCCCAAGCGGTAGAGGCTCGTTCTTGGCTCTCCCAGGCATCCCCAGAGCAGTTTTTTCCAGCTCCCTGGGCTGCTTCTCCCCCGGGAGCAGTGACGGGGGGGATGAGCAGGGCTCCGGTACCTGCCAGGCTGCCAGCGGCCGCGCTCGCAAGTTTTTCTGTTTTCCTCTGACACCTTTGGAGCTCCAGCTTCCCGGTAACGCAAATTAATATTTCACGAGTGCGGCGGGGTGAACTCGACACTTAAGGAAAGCGATGACCCAGCAGGAGACAGGCACGGGCACACACGCACCTGGCACACACGTGGGCACGGCCGGAGCCCACCCGGTGGGACCTGAGCACGGGGGTGGGGGGTGTCTGTCCGGCCTCGCTGCCCCCCCAGCTGCCCTCTCTCTTCCCTCTCCAGCGGTCGCCAGCGCGGAGGAGGCAGAGCCATGGCATCGCTGCCGTGCAACGCCCGTGAGTGCTCGGGTGGAGGGGAGGTGTGGGGCAGGGCACTGGCTCATCCCGATTTA